CGAAACGGCCGTCCAGTGCTTCCAGGTTTTCAATGGTGGTCTAGCTTCAACTGACTCATGATTTCAACCTGTGAAATATGTTGTTATATTTATCTAAAAATAAGTTAACGATCAGTTTCTTCTCAATTTTTTACTCTTTATGTTTCAGTGACACATGAATAAATAGGTCAATAACATAGCATCACAGATGTAGAGATCGAACCCAGAACCTTCAGGACTCCGTGGAAAGACTATTAAATTGGATTTTAATGATCCATATTCTCAGTGTCGACCAATCCACATGATTTGTAGCATAATAATTATTGGGTGTGCTTTCGAATCTGTAATTCATCACCGAACTATTCGGATCTTGACTGACCTCGTACTCGACTTGCTTGATAAAACTGACTGATAGCTGAGTAATTGTCAATATCATGTTTATCTAATCCTGTCTGTCTAAGTGGTTCTATTACATGTCAGTTGGAGGTCGAATACCTGGCACGAATCTCACAGGAAGCACTTGTCTCCTCAAGATTCCAGATACATTTTACTGACGAGTGTCATCTAGCACTAGACCTACCGAATATATCCAACCACTTAACAGCTCAACATAGTCCACACTATGTTGGACCCCTTAGATTACTGGACATATTTTAACTTTATTGACATAATTCAATTAACACTATGGATTAGATAATCATGTTACTAGCCATTACCACTACTCAATGACTAATCAGTGTACATTAATCGATGTTAATTAATCAATCACTATGTATTAGGTCATTGCATATTCTTTGAATCGTAATCTGAACTTATTAGTTATCTTAACATACACATGCAACTGTTGTTGATGATTGTACTTCAAACCATCTAATGAATTCAGCGTGATATTAATTCCTTAATGTTAAACTCTTTATTTATATATCAACAATTTCTCTTTATCTACCCAACTTTGAAATTTAAATATTCTTACTATCATTATCTAGGACGGTCAGTTTCTTTTGGGATCAATTGTTAAGATGATGAATTAATGGTGTCATAGTATTCAAAAAACTTAAACATAAAACATGAAGCTTATGTTTTTGTACTTTCTACATTTCACTTGTCTAAATAATAATATTCACTTACAATAACAACTGCATGTTGACATTGTATGTAAGTGTTCTTTTTGTTAAGTTATGCACAGAGAAAGAGGAAGAGAGAGAGAGAGTAACGAGTAATTGAACGTGTAAAAATTACCAAAATTTTTATAAGGTAGAAATGAAATACTCATCTGCCCAATCATTCATTTCTACATCTATATATACGTAGTTCATTATTTATTGACTTATTTACCCACATCTTATGCGCTTATTCAAGCATGTTGTGTAAGGGTAAATAATAATGGTGATAAAAGCAAATAACCAAGAGAAATAAAATAAAGTTGGGGTTCTTTTTATATATTTATATTTTGCTTACATTCCATTTTGTATGTGTGTCATTCATCAACTGGATTAGAATGTCAGGGTGATTATTCCATGTAGTGATGATGATGATTCAATTTTTTATCGGTCAGCGATTGTTGTTATTGTGTTCTTACATCATTGAAACGCTTTTTCATTTCATCATGAAATCTAAATAATGATTAGTGTTTCTTTTTCAGTTTTAATTATCATTCTAATTGAGGTTGTCACACGTTTCTTTTCCATACATACGCGGAGACACACACACACACACACGTAATTTTAGAAGACTCGAGGAGAGATATACGTGTACAATATTTTGTAGGTTAATTGAGGTCATATATACGTACAAATATATTTGAACATTGATCATTATTTATTCTTTTATCGTGTCAGTGCTTTACTTCTTTTTTCTTTCTTATCGACGCGTGATTATGAATAGATGATAATTTTTATTTTTTGGCGAGGATTAGCTGTGCACAGAAAATCGTGTGTGTGTGTGTGCTTCATCTAACAGTTTTATTATTGTTATTGTTATTATTATTATTATTATTATTATTATTATTATTATTATTATTATTATTATTATTATTATTATTATTATTATTATTATTATTATTATTAATTGTTACTATGACACTTCATTATTGGAAAAACTTTTTGACTTCTTATATAATCTTTCATTAGTATTAATGATTTAGAATCGCTGGAATCCGATGATAATCACTGAAAGTTTGATATCGATTCATATATAACCGTTGTTCTAACCCATACGATTATTTATGTTGTAGTTAACGTGTTTGTGCATAGATTAAGCAAATAATTTTATTTTTATGGTTCAAATCACGAAATAATCTTAGCTACATACCCATTAAAACATGGTTGAACTCTACTGGTCAGTGATTCTCACTAGAAAAATAAGAGTTGTATCCTGAAGCTAATTACTAGTGAGGATATGGTTATCATTAGCATAGGAGGATTTGTAGAGATTGGAGTTTAAATCACGAATTAATCTTGGCATAGGAGTTTCATACGAAGACGAAACGACCATTTAGTGCTTCTAGGTTTCCAATGGCGGTCTACTTACCATCAGTCCGTGATCTAAACTATGAAAATTCTACAATCTTCACAAAATCACCCTGTACTAAAATTTTTATTACTGTCTGGACTCTCCTGACTATCAATAATGATCGGAAATCAGTATACAGCTACTCAGATTGACTAGTTGATTACTGGCTATAAATATCGAAAATGTTGCTTGACAACTAAACGTCAGAGATAATTCTTGGAATTCTAAAGGGGAGCCGTCACTAATCAATGGAGTTCAGTTATGTCGAATGTGAGCCGGTAACCTATTAATGAAATAGTTATCCACCTCCGAATTTTTACCAGTGGTTTAACCCGGATAAATTTTTCATGTAAACTAAGTTACTGTATTAGTTATATTCGGTATGATCTATTTCATCTGAAATTTTGACACCTTTATACATTTGAATACCTCCGTAACATGATTGTTTAAACAGACTTATCATTGAACGTCTTGTATATCACTCACCTAAACTTGAGTTTTTTTTTCGACCGTTTTCTCCTTCCTTTGTGCTGTTAATTTTTCTCTTTGTTATTTTTAATAGAAAAGAAACAAACCGGAATGATGTTTTTCAATGATTCCAGTTACTAAATTATTACAATAAATCATAAGAATATTGATTGAATTCACTTTACCCTTTTCAATTATTCTAGTTCTCATCTATTCAGATGAAATCATGTTCAACATTTGATAACTGATTGCTAAATTTACTTAAATAATTTAGAATGGTTTTTCTTAATCCTAAAGAAAGTTGAATAACTGGAGCATTTAAAATCCCTCTATTCTCAATAAAACTTATCTGTATTAATATTGTATGGAATTTTTAGAATAATAATAATAATCCGAATTATACTTGAAAAATTCATTAATGTCATCAATAGAGCTCAATGAGCAAATTGAGTGAAATATAGAACTAATCTGTTTATTGTGTATTGTACATTTTAGTATATTGACAGTAATTCAAACTGTTTCCTACTAGTTTCTGATTGATTTCTGAACTGATGTCATAAGTTACTATTCAATAACTAACTGATATGTAATTCGAAATTTATTCGGAGTCATTCGATTATGTCGTCGTGCTCCTCTGGTTAACGTTTTTTTAGCGGATTAGTTTCCTACGGGATGGGGTCGCTAACCCCATGCCCAACCCTCCTCCTTTATCCAGGCTTGGGACCGGCAGTGGCCCCCGGAGGGACTCCAGGCGGAGTTGTCATACTCCTCTAAATATATATTATACTAGAGTACTCTGCTAATGTAATTAAAGTTTCGAATGATTTTTGTTAAATTAGTGGTTAATTAAAAGACTATTCAAGAATGAAAATCGATGAGTTGGTATTTTTATCAATTTACCCTTTTTGAGATGATAACATAAGATTTGAATATGTATAGTTCTTTGTTTTCTACTCTATAACTTTGAGTTATTAATATTAGAAACATTGCACATAATTGGTAGATAATATGGTTTTTTTGCCTTTATTTCTGAGTAATAATAATAATCATAATAATAATTCATCTATGTGTTTTAGTGCATAAAAGTACTAAAATAGTGTTAAAAAGAGCAACGGTATTTGTCTGATTAATGTGAGCCTATTCCGTTGTCAACTATATCTGCTTTTACTCATAGGTGTTTATATTGTCTCACCATTGGATCTAATGAGTCATATGGTACCGGGGAGCCCTGTTCGACAGACTACTGATCTGTGGATTTATTAAGTGAATAATATTCAAAATAAACATGAAGGTCTATGCAGTTGATCAAGACTAATTGATATTATCTTCTGTGATGATAGCCTGTTTAGACTTTGATACACCGTAGGTTTGAGGTTAAGCAAATGAAATGTAATATTCGCTTAATCTAGGAATTCAGACATTCTAAATCTTCATAATTTCTGATATCTTAGATGAGTATAATTTAAATAAATACATTTGGTGCTTATTTGTTTGTTGATGAATAAATTCTTAGTGTTCATACAAATCCGTTCATTATTTATCTTTTCAAAATAATACTATGCCACTGGAATTTGTCAACAGTATAGTTGTGAACACGTAAGAGGGCATATTTAAGGTGTGTGTGTGTGTGTAGGGGGGAGAAACTCATACTTCTCCGTTTCTACATTCGTATCGAATTTACGGTTGTGGTTGGCATAATAGTAGTCTGATGACAGAATGTCAAAAATTAAAAAACAACAACATTCAAATGATAATGACTGAGTACACAGACGCTGGTATAAGTAAGATTGTATTTCCTACAATTGGTGTAAACCAGAAGTTTACTTATGAATTAACATTAATGAGAAAAATATATTGTTTAGAGTTTCTAGAAACATATCCCCACTATCCATCAGATGTATTACGCAATATGGTAAGTTTTTTCGTTTTCAATTTTAAGAGTGAGATGTTTCTCCAATGAAATTTCAATGAATATAATTTAATAATTTATTTAATTGAATTGATGTTCAGTTTTTTTCTGATCAAATTTTATTATTTTTCAGTGTTCTATTCACTAATCAGTTTGGTAGTGATCAGTGATCTTATTGCCACTTACCTGTGTTCATCTGTTTTGGCATCGTCTAATTCAGGTGTCAACTTTATTCAGAATGATTATGATCTAGATAAAACAAAATGTATACAATCACTTTTAGTCAATCGACATCAAATTCCAGATTCAGCGTTCAATGCTACCAGTGAAGTAGTAGATCCGTCAGGAGCTAAACGTTATAATGCGCATTCTATTCGGTAAGAATTTACACATTACTTGTACATGATTGTTAAAATATTTGTTCCTAATAGATGTACATACAGTTCAGTATTAAATAATTTAAATCATGGTACCCACTGATCAGATGGAATACTCATTAGTCATTGCAATAATTAATTTATTTTCGTCTGTGACAAACGTTTTTAAGCTTACCATACAATCTCCTCCGTCCTCCATTTCTCTTGTGTGACGGTACAGGTGCCAACTCCAAAACCTTTTAATGTCATACCCTTTTTAATCGGTATATTCAATGTTTTAATCGATAAATTCTATTGTAAGAATGAAGTTTTTATAGAAATTTTGATTGACGAATACTTTCACCATATATACACTGATAAGGATAGTATTTCGTCGTTTTCCATTTAAATATAGTACACACATGATTATTGTGCTACACAGAGAAATCACTTACATTAAAAGGGTTTATTATACGAAGATTAACGATTTAAGACTTTGCATTTATGATAGAGTCACTTACGTTAAACGTTCAAAAGTTCAAATAAAAGCCGGTGTACATAATATCCACTTTTCGATCTTCATTTGATTCTATAGTATTAGTAAATTAAAATAGTGTTCTTTTGTAGTATATTTAAGAAATTGAGGTTGTTTAAATAATCAATGGGAGCTGAGGATTATTAGACAGCTGTTTTACTCCAGTATAAAACTTCTCAACAGTGTACATCCACTATCCCATCAGAGACAGAACATAATATCTTTAGGTCTCGTAGCCAGTACTCAAGTTTGCAATGACAAACCACTTAATACCGTCTCACCAGTCTAAAGTCCAATTGCTTAGTATGAGATATGAAGGTCCTAAATTTGATTCTACTTCTAACTAAAACCCATTTATCCGAAAAATATTTGCGACAAAATGGCTATATTGAAACAATTCACACAGGATGTACATATGCCAATAAAGACTAATCAAAATTCAGTCGTAAATATCAACAGTTGAATAATTCAAACCCTTATAATGACTTATATTATTTATTGTCTAATGAATAATTTCATAGAACAATCAGTAATGTTCAATTAAGAATATACAGTTGTCTGATAAAAAAAGTCGATAAATCAATTTTCTTGATCACATTTAATGTACCCTTCTCTTCATCATTATTAATTGTTACTCTTATTTCCATTTCATTATTTCTTTTTTAGAAATGAAAATACAGATTTTGCATGGTGTCCAGGTAAACGTATCAGTACAGACTGTGATGAATATGTTGAAATTGATATGGGTGAATTAAATATTATAACAAAAGTTGTTATAAGTGGATTACTCGCTGAAGGTGGAGTAAGTATTTGTTTTTTTTTCAATAAAGAACAAAAAATAAAGATTTTTTTCCTCTCTAGTAATTATACAAATTAATAATGATAACAATAATCATTTTTAGACAGATTATTTTCATTCTAAATTATAAAATCCAATTAACCAACTGATGAATTTTCTTTATCCCACTCCTAGTTTATGATACTTTTCAGAAATACATATGATAGATAAACGATCATGAGTTGTTCTTTATGAAAATGTGATTTGATGATGTTAAGTGTTGGCGGTGTAAAAGTTGTTTGCTTTCTAGATCTGTTAGAGTAGTTGTAAACTATTTGGAAGATATATTTAACATACTACAATCGACATTATATTAATGGATATCAATTCATTTACTGTTTCAATTATTACGCAATTCACCAAATACAGATTTGTTTACTCAGTTTTTAGCTACACACTCAAATTGTGAAGGTTAATGATACTATCCGGCTGCGAAGACGTAAGTAAATTGAACTGGACTTGAATTTACGACTTAATGGTTGAAAGTTGAATACCTTAAGTTCTAGGCAGCCGCTCGATCGATTAAAACTGATATTTACTCATCTAATAGTATTATATCTAAAACGAGAAATCAGTACAATTCCAACAACTCGAAATAAAAACACGGAAGACTGATGGGATGAAAGTTTGTTGATTCCATAAACGCAACGACGAAGTTAAAGCAAATACGTTTATTTATTTATTGATTTTACATAAACTTGATGGTTAGTTAATAACCAATAAATAAATGTAAAGATACACAGGTCTACTGTAAACACAAATAAGGTTACCAGAATGGGGATTTGTGGCGATTTTAGTAATTTAATAGTTGAGTTCATGAGTCGATTAAAGTCAAAATAACATTGAAAACCTGGAAGCACTGGACGGCCGATTCGTCCTAGTATGGGACTCCTCAATAGTGCGCATCTACGACCCCACACGTGAGACTCGAACCCGGGACCTTTGGTCTCGTGCGCGAACGCTTAACCTGTAAACCAGTGAACCGACATCCAACGGCTTTAAGGTTTAACTACTAGTGACTAGCTTCAAGACGGATTTTCTGGAGTTTTAGTGAGAAGCTGTGACCACTGGAGTTCAATCCGTGTCGGTTGTAAACAGTTATCCACTTCAGATAATGGACGAGGCGTTGTGCATAATCATGAGTCGATTGAAGTTAGACATTGACACCGTTGGATCCCGGTCCAGTGGTCTATAGGTTAAGCGTTCGCGCATGAGACCAAAGGTCCTGGGTTTGAGTCCCACATGCGGGACCGTGGATGCGCACTACTGAAGAGTCCCATCCTAGGACGAAACGACCGTCCAGTACTTCTAAGTTTTCAATGGTGGTTTAGCTTTAATCGACTCATGAATTCAACTGTTAAAACAAATAAAGTTTGCAGAGAGTAATATCAAGAATATAATCGTTACATTAATCAAAGTTCATGCTTGTCATATTGAACAAAAATGTACACTTAATTAATACGAAACATATTGACCTGAAATAAAAATATACGGAAAATATAAATTCAATATCGTATTGAATAAAATATTATTCTCAGGATCAAATCAACGTCAAATCTCACACTCAATATCAACCAATGTTATACACTGAACAAAATGTCACGTTGAAAATAAAATGATTTCCAAATGTCAAATTAGAAATAAAAACTAATATCATGAATGGTTACACTGAGTTAAAGAAAAGGTGTGAACTTGTCTATTTATGCTGACTTGTCAACAGACAGTGATGAGTTATATGTTATGAAATACAACACGGAGAACATCAACCCAATCACACTTGATGGAGAAGCTCGGGAACAGGTGGAAACTTTCACGTACCTGGTCAACGTCATCGATGAACAAGGAGGATCCGATGCAGACTTAAAGACAAGGATAGCATTCATACAGTTGAAGAACATATGGGACTCAAAACAACTGTCAGCCAACATCAAAGTGAGAATCTTCAACACGAACGTCAAGACAGTTCTATAGTACAGAGCTGAAACATCGAGAACTACCACAAACATTATCAAAAAGGTACAAATATTTATAAACAATTGTTTGCACAAGATACTCAACATCCGTTGGTCGGATATCATTAGCAACAGCCTACTACGGGAGAGGACAAACCAACTTTCGGCTGAGGAGGAAATTAGGAAAAGACGTTGGAAGTGGATAGAACATACATTGAGGAAATCACCGAACTTCATCACGAGGCAATCCCTAACATGGAATCCTGAAGGGAAACAGAAAAGTGGGAGGCCTAAGAACACATTGTGTTGAGAATTGGAAGTAGACATGAAAAGGATTACCCCGAACAAGGGTAACAGGCGTAGGTAAGTAAGTAAGTATGTATTTAAAGCAAATGTAATTGATAGAATGCTAGTTTTATAAAGTTCGTTTTTTAGTAGACAAAATTAAAAAGTACACTTATTTTGTAAAATATTTTTTAGGGCAGTCGTTATACTCCATACTTCTATATTCGATATAAACGAGAAATTAATGAAGAGAATTGGAGAACCTATCGACAACTTCGTCCAACTATTGTAAGTGATAAATATAATTCAAAGTACATTTTTGATAGATTGATTATATGATCTGATTTTTTAAAAATGGTTCTCATTTCTTTTTACTTGAAATAATGATCATAATCAGATAGATGAAAAACAATCAAACACACAAACAGTTTCAGAGGTTTTCAAACACTGAACATTATGTAGCCGATTTAGATTCGAATGAAATCAGTAAATTTAATGTTTCAATGAAATGTTGTTACTTGGAGTTATTTCCCTTGCTTGTTCAAATATTTTCTCTCATCATATTCTTTACATTATAGTACTATCTACTTTAGTAAGTGTATAGGAATTTGCCTACAATAAGTCTCATTATCTACATTTGGTTGGACTAGTGTTTAATTTAAATAGCTAAACTTATAAATAAATTCAATCCTGGCTATAAGTTATTTGAAGATATAATTTAATTAGTTATCAATCATAAATAATGTAGGATCTAGGCTAGATGTGAATCAATCCACGATTTCACATTGTATGTCAACACATCAAGATGGAATCGATATAATCTGTAGTCATAGGATAACAGATTTCAGCTTCTCTCTATTTGTATATCCTGGTTTAGGTAGATTACATATATATTAGCCACTCTTTTTTACAGCTTGTAATCCTTCCAAAGATATCGAACTTCCTCAGTTCAGTGACAACAAGTTGTAAAATTTTACAATAACATTTATGGTTTTTAAAGGAATTTCGTAGAATCCATATCTTGACATTCTTAAAAAATCTCGGTTTACTAACACTTGATGCAAAGACCACACATAAGTTGAGGCTTTCTGTCTCACTTTTAAATTCCATAGCAAGTCAAGTTATATTTGATATAATATAATAACTCTTATCTATTTAATTGTCTCTTCTATCTATTCTACGTCAACATTTGTTGTAATGGGTATATCAAAGCTATCCGTACAGGATGACCATATACCAACTAAGATTAATCAAATCTCATCCAAAAATATAAGCATTGAAATAATCTAAACCATTTCACATCGAATTAAATCTCATACCTGTTGTACTAGGGAGTGATTATTTGGGTTCAGTATTTAAGTGAATGACCCGATAGAGTTAAAAGTGAACTGTACTGGGTCCGAGTCCCGGAGTGAACCTCAACTCTGGGGTGCAGGTACACCCAACTGACAAGTTTCAAATAGGACGAACAGTGCGTCCTGGATTCCACTGTTAGTCGCATTCCATCCATTCTATATCAAATAATGTCTGCGTATGTTTTCTTACACCACGAATACTGAATTTATTTGTAAATTTTCCAAGAAGAAATGAGCAGTATTTTTCCTTCTATAATTTAGCAACAACATGTAACCTATGGTTAATTGGGTTGATTAAGAAGTTTACCACCCAAAAAAAACAAACGATGAAGTAGTTTTTCCATTTCTCTCCCTTCATTTATAGTGTTACATGTGTTATTGGGTTTGAGGTGTTACTTTGCTTGATATAGTTTTACATGAACTTGTTATTGATTACGTCATTGTCTACGCTGTTTAATGTTTCCTCCAGCATATTATGTAGATAAGGACAATTCTGTTTTCTTTATTCAACTAACTTCAATCATGTGAATCGTTTTTAGTTTGAATTGTTGATTTTTGCTAAGTAATTAGGATATATTACACTATTTGTTGATAAAAATGTTGATCATTATCATACTGTCTCCAGTTCTAAATGGTTGTTAGGTTTTATTGATTAAGTTCTTAATGTAATCATTGTATCAAGTGATTTGAAGTTGGACAAATGTTCATTCAAGATTCTTTGTTTTTCATCCTGTTTTCAGAGACTCATTTATGATTAGAATATAGATGAGTAGTGGGAACATTGTTTGTGTTTCTGAGTAGTATTGTGAGTCTAAGTCATTAGAAGTTTTGAATACACCTTATTGTGACAAAAATAGTCAGTAAATTTAACATTCCAGTCAGTACCCAACAAACCATGTTGTGAACTACATAAGAGTTGTGTGAATTTGTAGAGATCCATTGATTCATTTAACACATCATATTGATGTATTCCATTTTAATTTGTTATTTATTTATAGATTTCTCGACTTTTGGGCGGTTTAGACGCTTTAGTGCCAAAATTTGTTGTACTTGACCCACCATTGATAGCTCGATGGATTCGTATCTATCCGTATCGTGATACACCAGGCTTTGTATGCATTAGACTTGAAGCATACGGTTGTCGTTTCTCAGGTAATTAAAAATTTTCACTAAATAATAATAATATGTACTGGGTTGTGAAGATTGTCGAGTTTTTATTGAGATCATGAATCGATCGGTGTTAGAGCACCATTGAAGACCTAGAAGCACTTGGCGGCCGTTTCGTCCTTGCATGGGACTTCGGCAGTGCTCATCCACGACATTCGGTTTCGCGTACGAACACTTAACTTCTAATCGGTTCATTCATAAGATGAGACTATAATTTATGGACGGCCTTTGAGCAACGCTAAAATGACCATGAAAATGTCCATTTACTTACTATGTTTAATTGAGACTTATAAAGTAGTGCAAGGGACTAGGATTAGGATTTATAGTTGAACATTAGGGTTAGAAATTATATTTAATGTTTTCATCACGAACTGACATCAGCTCTAATGCCGAAATGGTATTTAGCTATATGAGTGGATAAATCTTGCGCCCAAATCTAAGACCCGCTATCTTTAATCTGGTTGGTTCGTCCATAAATTATAGTCTCGCCATTCCTAATATGAATATAGTTATTCAGTTGAATTTGAAGGTTAATTTTTGGCAGCCTGCTTGAATGTATCGGCTACCTATTCCTTCAATCTAGATACTTCAACAAGTGATGTTTTTTGTTTGTTTTAACCCATGATTATATCAATTAACTGCATAACCTATTCAGAAACATTTATGAAAAGTTTACGACCTTTCTCTGTACAAGTTACGATAAAGTTCAATCAGCGACATCGTGGTGGCTGGCAATAAGCAGCGAAAAGAATGTACATTATTCAGATTTCGATTTCTGAACTGCTAACATCTAACTAGTGATCACTAAATATTTATCGTCAGGATCGAGCAAAAAATAAGAAAAGGAAACTCGCTGAAATACTTTGTGCTGAGAATTGTATATTGTACCAAAAATATAATACTCAATAAAGCTATTAATAATAATATAATGATAATTATTGTTACTATATTTAAATGAATGGAATAGCAAAGATATTACTGTAGTATGATATAAATAACTTCTATGGAATTATGAAAACTAATTACCATAGGATAAACATTATGGATTTTCAGTATGAGAAATGTATGTGTACGTTAATCGTTTGTCAAATAAATGTGTAGTCTGTAGTACAGACCAGTGAAGTATTATACTTAAATTATGTGTAGGAGAAAGTAACCACAAATAGTCAGTCAGTCATAAGCAACGTTGATTCTGGGACGTATGTCAACCAGTTACTATATCATCCTATCGAGATGAAATTATCGAGATAAATGTCAGAGTGGTAAAATTTGCAACAATATCAGTGGTACATGAAAAGAATAGATGTAGAAAATATGATTCAAGAAGAAAGAAGCAAGTTACGCATTAAAAATATAAGTTTTTCAAAACAACCGATGTTTACGATAATCGTTTCTATCTTGAGCTGACAATCTACATTTACGCTTACATATACACGGAACTCAAGAATATGCAGTTAAATGGTTCATTTAATCTCATAACTTCGAAAGTGATTGTAACTAGTTAATACGATGATAATTCTAGGAACCAATAAATAAATAGCAATTATTATTGATATATCAAGTAGTGTAAAACACGACCATGGACAAGAGAAGTAACAAAGTATGTACACAATACAAATACATAGCCTTCAATTGTCTATTTGTATCTATTTGTATATTCTGCATTTGAACTATCTTCTTGGATGGTTTCCAAGTGTTTTGCCAATGCAGTGCTTTCAATGCACTGAAAGTCTTTACTGCGTCTGACAATTGGTTGCAACTTTGATGCCATGTTCTGCTACACACTAAATTACAAAACATCCTTGTGAGTAGTGTCTCTACTACAATGGTACTATCACTTATACATGCAATATTATATTATTTATTGAAAAATATGCTTAATTTAACCCTTTTTGTTGATAAATATAAGTTTAAATAGATCAATGATAATGTTGTCTGGTCAATGATCAAAAGTTATTTCCGAACAAAATTCAACTGAATATTTATTTATATACCTGTACTAGTCAATTTAACTTTTTGTAACCTGATTAAGTTGTTTGATTTAAGTTTATTCGTTGTATGTATGTATATATGTCTATGTGTGTAGGTTCAAAATGACGTAATCAAATGAATGTAATTCAGTGTATGATGTAAATGAAACTAGTCGATAAAAGTCTAATCGCATTCGTTAATATATTTTTCTTTTATTGTTTGTGTGTATATAACTTAAACAAGAGTTGACTATGGATGGTAACTAGCAGTAGGATCCAAGACGCACATTTCGTTTTACATGGGACTTGTCAGCTGGATGTCAACCGGAGTGAACATCAACTCTGGGACCCAGGTACATTTAATTGACGAGTCCGAAATAGGACGAAATGCTATCCTGGATTCCACTACTAACTATACTTGTGATTTGATGAAATATCAAGACAATCCGTACAGGTATCACATATGCCAATAAGAGACTGATCAATTTCAATCCTAAACATTAATGAGAAGATGCAAACAAAAAAATACAAAAATGAATTAATAGTTGACTATGTATAAATTGTTTCCTTCACATCTTGTTTATTATTATTTATTATTTATTTGAACACATAGATATTGGTTCGAGGAGGAACCAAATACATATGCGCCACACAAATCTTATTTGATTTGTGTGAGGACTGTGATACTGCTCGGGTGCCCAAACCGAAGCAGGGGGTTTTCTTAGGGGGCCACACCCAGAGCCTTCGACCTAAAGGTCTGATGCACAAGGCAGTGGAACATCGTCAGACGATGTAGTTCCATGGTAGTCGGTGACTAACGATCGGCTCATACGCCATTTATTCCTTCAAGATACTGGAGCCCATGTACACCATTGGTTTGGAATCAGGGTTTTTCAACTCCCCTAGGTGAACTCTCCATGTCCACCAACCCGGTTAAAGCGCCATACATTCGCATTTCGTTCTCTCAATTTTGTAAACAACATCCCCACCACGAGAAGGCAGTGAGTAGAACTTTCCTAGCAGAGGCTATATACGCGTGACCATATAAGAGCATTTCGAGAGGGAGAGCAGACTCTCCCCACTCTCGGTCGTACCAGGGCATTTGGGGGGTCATTTCTTGTTTATGTGTATAACTAAATTAACAATCCACCTATATTAACATTGATGATACATTCATCACTGATTATTTATTACTTTTCAAGTTTCAATAAAGTATTAATTTTCTATTTTGTCTCTAATAGTTTTTATCCTCTTTTGCTAAAGTATAATTGTAAGATGGTACATAAATATATGTGTGTTTATCTGTTTTGCATTTCTGTTTTTATTTATTTATTATATTTTTTTACAAAACCAATCAATCAACAAAGTTGTATTCAGTGATTTTGACAAGTGAAACACTTTTCGACATCGCAATAATGTGTTGTTATTGATTTAATTCTCAAGGGTGATAAATTACCAAAAGAGATTTGCAATTTATCATCAATATAATTGTTTCTTTTTGTTTTGTTTTGTTTTGGTGTTTTTATGTTCCCATTAAGAGAGGTAAATGATTTAATTGTAAAACTTTCATAGCCATTTTGAGAAGTATCATCCTTGCTTACTTCATATAGATTTTGAGTTATTCTATAAGCATTAAATCGTTTCATTCTAAGGAGGTTGTTTGTGATTGGTTGTTTTGACCAGTTTCATGGTTTTTAATTGTTGTTTATTAATCCATATTGAAAAAAGTCAGTCAATCATGGTTAGAACTTGATCAAACGAGATAGCCAGTAGAAATATACGTACATACGAAAACAGTGAAACCCACGAAGACGACCAGTCACAAAGAAAATCATCAAAACTCACTGATTTAACTCCTGTGGAATTACTAAAACGCTCACGATGTAGAAACTGATAGTGGTGTTGTCCAGAGTAACAATAAAGGTTTCTAAGTCAAACAGTATAATTCAAATGGTATATTAACACAAAAAACATCTACCTGAGTTGGGAATCTTCGTCATCATATGACGGACTAATACAATAGTAAGGTCTCTTACTTTGAAGAATTAATTTTTCATTACGACTTCATCTTCTGAAGATATGAATCGCTTACTTATAAACACATGTAACTAGTCATTTTCAATCTTGTTACTTGTTTATTTATGAGTAGTGTGAATTGCTCCATCCAATTAAATTGAATCTGTAATTTGCATTGTTATGAAATTTTTATTTATTTAAATAGATGACCTGGTTGAATATCGAATCCCTGAAGGGAGTCTAGCACATCCTCCTTATCAAGCTGAAACTAGTTTATATAAATCTCAAGGATCAGAAGTGTTTACAAATGAGAACTTAAATTCTAGTCAAGCTGGTGGTGGTCTTCCATTTTCAGATACTTGTTATGATGGTCATAGAATTGAACCAGGAAGTCTTTTAGATGGAGGACTTGGTTGTCTTATTGATTTAAACAGTGCTAATCGTGATACAATTCCATCTATACAACGAACTGTTGGTGTTAGTTCAAAAGCAGATAGTTCAATGAATTATCAGTTTGTTGGTTGGCATCGTGATCGTTGGAAAAGTTCACAGGATAAAAATAATGATGTTGTTGATATGCTTTTTCGTTTTGCTTCTGTACGTAATTTTACACGACTTCGACTTTATATATCTAATAATTATTTAGAAAAGGTTAGTTTACATCCTTAATTATTGTTATGCCATAACACTTTTCTGCAGTTATGTGTACAAATTTTTGTTATAAATGAATTTATTTGAAGTAATTTGATAAAATACATAAGTAGTTTACTGAAATTTTTCTTTACCTAAGACAATGGAATGACAGTAATTAATTAATTTTTTCCCTCTTTTTATTAGATTCGTTTACCCAGGCGACTAGAAGTTAAATTTAGTGTAGGTGGTGTACATTTCTCTGGTCAATTGCCTATTTCACGTGAATTCAAATTAGAGAATCGAAGTCTAGGTGTTTTTAGTATTATTTTGGATTTATCTCATAGAATTGGTCAAGTTGTACAATTGAAAGCCTTTTTCGCTGACGATTGGTTGTTGTTTAGTGAAATACGCTTTGAAAGTGGTAAGTTTTATTTCAAACATTAACATTGGTACTTTTATGAAGGTTTTATTTTACTCTAACACTCTATTATATGAAACAGTAATAATAATAATAATAATAATAATAATAATAATAATAATAATAATAGTGGTTTATGATACAGTTGTATTATTTTCTTCATTAAGGTTGAGACTGACATAATGCTTCAGATAATCTATCTGGAAATCATTGGATCATCGTTTCAAACGAGATAAATCATATTTCAGGTCATAGAACTCAATATCTCATATACACATTTATACAAAGTTAATTAAACCTTTTATATTGCTAAATTATAGTGTTGCTTAGGTATATTAGTATTGCAAGTAACCCTTAGTGATAGAATCTAAATAAGGTCATTTAATTATAGGTTTTCAATAAATTCAGGCTTTGGTAGGATAATACTCAGCGTGTTGACTGAATAGTAAATGAGTCTCTTGATACAGTCAAATATAACTGCTAAGAACTAATATTTGACAAAGATACCGGTCTTTTTATGTCTTTTTAAGAGATATAAAATTATCATGAAAATATGATTAAATGATTTGTACACCTATCGGCCGAATAGCAACAGAGTAAAATTGTCTCATAAAATTATCCCGGCTACATACAACAACACATATCATGAATATAAAATAAAGCAAACATTCTTGTCTCAAATCGATTTCTAATCCAATCATCTGATATCCAGTGTCGTTGCATAAAATCAACTAACTATTACGTGTATACTATCGAAGATTTACTTACAAGTGATTAATACATTTCTTATTATATGTTAATTTAACATTTCCGCAGTTGAAATCACGAGTCGATCTAAGCTAGACCATCATTGAAGACCTGGAAGCGCTGGAAGACCATGTCGTCCTAGTATGGGACTCCTCAGTAGTGCGCATCCATGGTCCCACTTCTGGGGTGTCCCATGCTAGGACGGAATGGCCGTCTAGTACTTCCAGATTTTCGATGGTTGTCTAGCTAAGATTGACTCGTAAATTCAGCTGTGAAAATACAATAATATCCACAAATCCTCATACTGATAATTTAAAATTTAGTCCAGGAGAAAGTAAAACTAATTTCTTATTTATTAATTTGTTTTACTAGGGCATAGAATAGTTTTATATAAATTTTTAGTGTTAATTATTGTACAAATTAATAAATATCATTTTAATTTGATCTTCATTTCCTTTATGTTTTATTTCGCTGGCAAAAAATCGGTTTAATGTCCATTTTAGAAAAGGTTACAACACCGATAAAAATTGATGAGTTGGCTATGTTATCTTCAAAATCCTTCAATCATCAATCTATTAATGAAGAAGAGGACTCGACGAATACAAGTAAGTAGTGAATTAACCAGTCACCAGTAATGTTTCACATCAAAGCAAATATTAACATTTTATTGATGTTGTTATAATTTGTCGTTTGAATGCTTATTATCTTGGCTCTTTTAATGCTACTTTTTGTATCTGGTCGTCGCTGGTTGCTATGTTGGAAACGCTTATCACTTATACTCGGAACGAGGGACCTCTGCCATTCCCACGACTTGAAAGTAAAAACAAAAAGACTGGTATAAGTGATGATTTATTAACCCCAAAACACGACGACGACGATTCTATTAGAAAATACACTCATTTATATATTGATTGTACACCCATTTTGATTAATAATTAGGATGAAATCACATATATGAAAAATACTTAGAGTTATAACAAATCACATACTGACCATAGTTCATGTAAATGGAATACAAGATTACCGCATATTATACAGAATAAAATATCATACGAGAAAAGAAAACAAATACTACATTGAGTAATCATTCCATTGAATCAAAATGGAAGTAATGTTGAGCCAAAACTCGTAATGAGTAAATCAATTGAAAATTGACTTTTCTTTCCATCATATCAGATGTTAAATGATGGGTGGATACCTTGCTCGACCTAGGTTTCGTGCTAATTGACTCGAGTCAGAAAAGAAAACAGGCGAGACTTTAATGTATGGACGACCTTTGAACGAATCTCAAGTAACCTTGAGAAATATTAGCCAATCAACAAACAGATAGTATAGATTAAAAATATGTTATACAAAACCATGGAAATAAAGTGGATACACTTCTTATACGTGGTTCAAAAACTTGTCAAGGTTAGAAAGAGGTTCAGAGGTTCTAAACTCGTAATGCATGCAGTAGAGGAAATCATCCATACGGATACAGAATAGTCGACCTATGGAGCCATGATAAAGTTTCAAAAACTTTCAGCCTCGACCACGTAGTTTCAATATTGTTTATGTGCACTCCGGTTGTTGAGTGCACAAAATGCCACTTGTGGATAACGACACGATGCACATAACCAAGCTTATGGAGGATTCTGTACGCTCTCCAAACATCCGTAAATATTGTAGTACCTGGCTGCATCCAGTGTTACTGGTGCTTTTATTATCCAGTTCGCAATAATTGTCGTAATTTGCCATAGTTAGGAATTGTATATGGGGTTTTCATCACGAATTGACATCAGCTATAATTCCAGAAATTTATTTAGCCAAATGGATGAAAGGCTTTCGCATTAAAATCCGAGATCTATTATCTTATACCTGATTGATTCGTCCACAGATTATAGTCTCGCCGTTTTATTTGTTATAGCCGCTCAATTATCACGTTTTATAAAAAGATTCCCTGTGAACCGATCGTACGTTAGCGCTAAGCGCTGAGGTTGGCGCCGTATCCTTGAAATCCCTAAGCCGCTTCTGATTGGCTCGTTCGTAAATTAGAGTCTCGCCGGAAAACATATATTATTAATGGAGCTGATGCTTTCTGTGGAATTTAAACTCGCCTCACTCAGTTTCAAAATTCCAGATGTTACAACTGATCTGTTCGGGCAGCTACTTAATTTTTTCTGCGGAACCGAGACGTTTAAATTTCATACGCTTGAAAAGAACAAGAGCAAAGATTTAAACATGATATCGTGAATTCATTTTATTCCGTTTAGTTCTCGCTATTTACAACTTACTAATTACTGAGGAGTGACCAATATCATGTTTGTCTCGTCTTCTAGTGCTGATGGAATTATGTTGGTCAAGCATTTTATCCTTGGTCATATTTATAACATTTGGACTTACGACATACTGTTGCTGAATTATTCTCACTCGTTTGTTTGTTTTTTTTCTTTCTAGAACGTGAATCTGATGCAAATAAAGTGCCATCCTCAAATGATACCTCTGTACTTGATGATTCATCAACTCGTTTGTCAACTGTAGTTATATTAGTACTAGTTCTATTATGTTGTTTCCTTGGTTTATTAGCTGGTGTTGCTTGCTTCTCTGTGACATGGATGCATCGTAAAAGACATGATTTAGAAAGAGAAAAACATCAAGTTCATAAAACATTGTTAATTCGTGGTGAAGATGCTTTAAATGTATGTACAACAACTGGTTTATGTGGTAACGGTAATGTCAATCTTATCGGTGGTGGTGGTGGTGATGCTGGTTATGCAACAGTTAGACCAAATATGTATCCATTTCTATTATCTGCAGCTAAACCTGAGATGGGAGGTAGTAATATTGATCTGGTTTTCTTCTAATTTAACACTATATTTTCATGAATTTTTGTGTGGCTTGAATACTAATCGATATTACGTGCTATATTGCCGAATCGGGATTTTTTTATCGATTAGTTCACCTACATTGCCAGCAGGACCTGTGACTTGTTTCATGAGATAACACATCGACCAACGAACCACAATTAAGGCCTTAGTTCTTATTGTTAATCGGTTATTAATGTTTTAAGCTACCTGGTGGCGTGACCACAGAGCTCAAGGGACCACTGCTTGAGGTTACTCATACACGGACCTTCCGAGGCTTTGCCTCAGGTGACGAAAGTTTTTAGAGTAAGGTGAAGTGTTCTGTTTTTAGGGTCAACCTTTTCTAACCCTATTGTTTTTGTTGTGGGAAGACTGAATCGCTCCACAGGCTAGTTGTCTGAGGCAAACAACTTATTGCCATTAAACTCCATTACAGCCAGCAGTACGACCCCACCCTCATAACTTAAGTTTGTGCTTCCAGCCTTACCATTCTACGACTGACTTCCAGGTATTGCAGGACCTAAGTGAATAATTACAAAAGCCACTTTATTTCATCTTCCATCAAGATAACAAACTTATATTGATAACACTAAACACAGGAATAAACGTGATTGTAAGTCGTTTAATAAATAAATGATTCAAGGATATGAGACCTGGCCATTCACTCTCTGAATCGATACCTAAATATCAGGTTTAATTCTTGTCCATCATATCAATTATTATGTGTTATGAATGTAAAGGTTTGTGTTTTAGACTTGTTTAGATAAGAAATATTATGGAGCTAGAGATGCGCTTGATTATTTTGAAATTAACTGTTTTTCTCTAGAGTTTTTATATCACGCTCTTAAACCGTTAATATTATCAAGATATTATGCACCAGAAACTCTGTTCAGCAATCAACATGAACATAACCATATGACTGATGCCAAAGTGGGGGAGTTTATGAACTTTTGCTAAGTAAAATAAGTCATGTTTTAACAAAGGGAATTCACTCAGTTTCAGTTTATGATTTATACAAAGCCAGTAGTCAGTCTTTTTTAAAAAGTTCAAGTAATTTTATAATTAAAATTAAACCAGTCTCTAATTCTTAACTGAATTGTGACCTCATAATTTACTAAATTGTTAGAATTTCTACAGAGAAAGGTATTCATCATCAACATGTGTGTTACTAATAACTACTAAATATCTGTTAGGTGGTTGGATGTCCGAATAGTTCAGAGGTAATGTTTCAGACTGTAAAGTTGTGCGGTGTGGGTTCTAACTCTAAAGGGACCGTTAAAGTCGGCTAAAGATTACAAATAAATCTTGCTGCTAACTACCCCCAACCACATGATGTTGAGTCACTCAGCTTGATTGATAGAATTTGACCATCATTAAGACATTGATTCATTGTGACTACTTATGCGTGATTGTTATATTTACTTTTTTTAAGTTTCAACTGTTCTACCAAATGGGGGATTACAATCTTATCATCAAATTGTCCTATCATCAAATACCAGTACAGAATCTCCCAATAGTGTTTCAAATGAAAAAAATTCAAGTCAACAACAATCACAGCTACGTCAGACGTCACAGTCAAATGTTGGTATGATTATCGGTCAACAGTCTAATACAATAGTTAATCGTTTATCTGGTGGCACAATTGGTCCAAGTGATGGTGTTACATCAGAAACTGAAGCATTCTGTGATAATAACAATAATAAACACAATGATGATAATGATGAAACTCATCCACATAATCGTTATAGTTTATCATTATTTAACAATCATCAATACCATCATCATCACCAAGATCCGGAAGCAACATTCATCTGTTTTATCCTCGTTATTATGTATATCAAAAATGAAGAAACATCGTCGTAAACAATGTTCAGTAAAAATTAATCATAACAATAAGACTATTTCGCAGCTTGATCATACTAATAATATACATGGGAATATTAATTCTAAAGAAATCGACCATATTACTGCTACTACCACTACTAATAATAATATTAGTAATAATAATACAGAATTTTTAAATACTGTAAATAATTTCTCAAGAGTTAATCAATTAGTTAGCAGTCAATCTGGTCACAATTTAGGATTATGTTCAACTGATCTATTAAATGCTCATTTACGAGGACAGGTAATATTTAAAGAATTTTTGTTATTGTTGGATTTCTTTATATTTTAACATAATGCGACATTTATCAGTAATAAGGTTTTGGAGATTGTTGAGTTTTTATTGAGATCATGAACCGATCAGTGTTAGACTACCATTGAAAACCTGGAAACACTGGACGACCGTTTCGTCCTAGTATGAGACTCTCCAGCAGTGCGCATCCACAGCTACGTACACGAGGATCAAACACAGGCCCTTTGGTCTCGTGCGCGAACGTTTAGTCCCCAGATCACTGGGCCAGCATCCAACGACGTTAATATCTAACTTCAATCAATTCACGATATTGCATGACCATTTTTCATTGTCTTTAGTGGGTATATGTCTTACACCCGACATGGTTGAGCTCCACTGGTCACAGCTTCTCACTGAAGCTTCGAGAATTACCTCTAAAAGCTAGTCACTAGCGAGCACATAGCCACAGTGGTGTAAAGGTCAAGCGTTCGCGCGCGAGACTGAAGGTCCTGAGTTTAAGTCCCGTATGTGGAGTTTGGGATTCGCACTGTTAAGGAGTTCTGTACTAGAACGAAACGGCCGTACAGTGCTTCTTGGTTTCCAATGCTAGTCTAAAATTGATCGGTTCATGATCTCAATAAAAAATACTAATATATTTTCTTAGAAGTCATGAGATTTCTGATACTCTAAATCTTTTCACTAATGATTTCAGGGACCCGTAACTGACCAACTTTTAACCAAAGGGAATGTGAATAAGTCAACCAAATAAAGGTTAGGCTTAGGACTTACTGTTAGGAGTTAGGTGTTGGGCTTAGAGCGGTAGATTGATTTGTAGTCACGTTAATGAATAGCTATGCAGGTTTTTCTTTGATTTCAAATCTTAAGATTATATAAGTTACCTTGGAAACATCATACATCATATTAAAATGTTACATTTTAATTCCAGCTGTTTTTTTCTATTTGTCACAACAAAACTAATCGTTTCCTCATAGTTAAATTTAGTGTTGTTCAACTTCGTTTTTAATCCATAGTCTTTTTATGTTTATCAATTTTAAGCATCTTGATAATTAAATATTGTTAGGTTTTATTTATTTCTGACTTGGCCTTTAAAAAAATACAAGATATCCGTCATTGTGTTTTGAATTCCACGCAAAACTCTAAATAGCTACTATCATAAATCTGATTGGTCTGTCATTAAAGCATACTTTTATCCATTTTACTTCTAAACAAACTATAATACCATTCAACTTTTTATACAACTTTGAATAGGTAGCATAAAAACTACAATTATTCGATTATATTGAAGTAACTTGCAACAAAATCCTTGTAGTTGAATATTTCCTTTAACCAGTTATCAGAAATCCAAATATTCTGTATTCACAAATATGTATGCTCATGTTTCTCAACACCATTCGAAGCCCATCAATATAAGAAAAATCGTAATAATTAAATCTCCTCTTTAGATTTGTTTGAAGTTAATGTTTTAAGGATAGTTTGTTTCTTGGAAATGTGTAACTTTAGAGTAGGGATTTCAGAATGAAGAACTAACAGCAAGTCACATTAATATCATAGAATAAATTACTATTGAATAACAACTTGTTTTGGTGCACCTTCTAGCTACATTTCTTTCATCAGATCTATTATTGTGAAGTTGATCCTTAACTCAGATGCAACGCAACATGTTCTCAAAACTGTTCAGAAACAACGGTGACACTATTTTCTTTCAATGTAGATACCATTGGATTTTGAGGATTAAAAGAAGTCTTTGAGGTTGACATTCCTTAAGTAAAATCACCCAAAGCTTTTGATATTTGGGTTTATATTTTATGTTAGTTTGAGCATCAATTATCAACATAAGATATTTCGGTATCTCTAAGTTTAATTTATTTGAGGAAATTATACTACTTTATTTTTGTTAGTAACATATTTACGAAATACCAATAAAGAGGTTTGCTATGATACTTTTATCTGATTGGTCTATAAGGGTTATTCATTTCACCTATCTATTTTGTATGTCGTATGTTTGAAACACCAGACTTCTGTACAAGCGGCAAATGGATTACTCCAAATTGATTTGTCTCGAGGTCATCCATCAATGCTAATCAATGGTCGACCATTAATGCGAATTCAAGCTTCATCTAATCCATCCGATGTAACTGATAATTCTTGGCTTTTACAAACCGGTTATCGTAATAATAATGCAGTTTGTTGTACTTCTTCAATTGGTATGAATTTATTAAATTCAGAACCTGGTGTTTATACAACAGTTGGTGGAGCTGAATCAGATGTAGATAGTAATGGAGCAAGTGAGTAGTAATTGATGAATATAAATGGATGGAATATAAATTTATATTTTGATTTTTATACTGATTATATGATTAAGTAAATCTTAATAGATATCCTATTGTATCACTACCATTAATATTCATAAAAATCCCTAGTAACAATTTCTACTTGTTTCTAAAGCACTAGTTATAATAAATAGAAGTGGTTCAAGAAATAAATATCTGGTCTATTGATACAATAACACCTCAATTATTCATTCCAAATGTTTGTAATGTTTTGTCAGTTTGTTAGTAAACCCTTAGAATTATCGATGGAGCTATACTACAATGATGAATTTGAGAAGCTTTAAAATTGACCTGCGGAAATTTTATTCAGTTATTAGCAGGTAATATAAATGAATAATTTACTACAGAAAACCTAAAAAGCCAAAATATATATATTCTACACGATTAATAAATTTATTCAAGTCTGCGATAGGCTCATTGAAATAAAAATCAAAGTAGATCTTATCAATATGGATCCAGACCATCGTAGCTTTAGAGCTTATATAAGGGCGAAAATGGTTCTTCAATCTTGATCACATTAGTTCAACATTATTAATGTGGATATTTTTCATATGGTTGGTGAATTGATACGTAATAATGACAACCTGCTGATTATAGTCCTATAATTGAACACACTTGTACTTTTTCTAATTATTTTTATAAACTAGTAGTTCCCTACTGCATATACCATACATGAATGAGTAATCTTTCCATATCGATTAGATCATAAGATACGGAGGATCTTGAGAAACCCTACTAATAGCTTTGACTGTGGCCCGAATCACATCAAGTACACTTAAGGAGTAACCGCCGTTTTATATACCATCTAAATCATGAGCAGGTATTTCTTGTAATTTATTTTTCGCGCTATATCGCCTTCACTATAGAGTTGGACAATAGATATTTCTTAAAATCAATTTTAGGTAATATTAAGAAGTTTTTACTTAGCTCATTATAAGGCACAAGCTATTCGTCATCGCATTTTGAATTTTGCTAAAACTCCCATAGGCGCTGTTGTAAGTTCACTTGATTTGTCAGTATAGTATAATTTTACCGAACTGTTTTTAAAAGTAGAAAGGTTGAATGTTTCCGCTGGAGATTTCCCAAAAGAATTTCTCAACGATCAAACAATGAATGGTTAAGTTTCTCATATATAACTTATATATTCTTTTTAATTCATCCTTTTTTCATTTTAAAAGGTACAATGAGTCCAGAGTATGCATCCACAAGTATGTTACATGATTATCCCATGTTAGCTGCTACATTGGCTCAATTAAATCAACAACGACTGGCTGCTAATCTAACACCATCTATGAATATTCAACCTAATCTATATCCTTGTGCTAATCCACTTAACACTGACTTATCATCAAATTGTTCTATTAATTTCAATATTTTATCAAATCCTCCATTGAATTCCCCATTTAGCAACAATAATATCATTAATAATCCCAGTACCTACGGTAATATTAGTTGTCATAAGAATAACTTTCTTACATCAATAAATACAATTCAACAACCATTATTATTCACGAATCCTCATTCAATACATGATATGATGATGATGACGACAAAGACGACAACAACAGCGGCGATAACAACATCATCAGTTACAAAACTATTAAATGGTATACAAAGTTCACAGCTTGGTAATAATAGTAGTAACAATCATCATTACGGTGTTGAAAGTGATATTGTTCAAAATGTATTTCAACAGAATAATTATCAGTCACAAAATCAACAGATGTATGATGCTTATAATTTACCAACTCCTTCAGCACCAATTTATTATCCTATCGCACATCAGATTATCTCATCCACTATGGGACAATATTTCCCATGTATTATTACTTCAACACAAACTACAGGATTATCATCTATATCAGCATCATCATCGGGAATAGCACCTCACACAGTGTTATCGCCATCATCGTCTGCAAAGAGTAATAACTCTATAAATAGTACTGCTGCTACTACTACCACTTATAATAATAATAATAATCCCACATTACTTGGAAGAGGCGGTCATATCAACAATGAATACAAATCTCCGAAACATAATGACATTGTAAACATTGAACAATCACATAAACGATCAGGTGGGTGTATATTTTATATAGTAGCTGTTCACTTTCATTAGTAATAGACGATCAACAGTGAAGTTCTGTTTAACTTGGGTCTTATACTGGTAGATACTGTTGTCTTGAGAAAATTATTGTCTACTCAGTAGTTTGAAACCATACACTACTCTATACTACAGTAAGATATTTACTATACTACGAATAATCCCATAGCCTTCTCTTGATATGATTAGTAGTAATTCCTTCTTTGTATGACTATTCGTCTAAAAAAACAAAGTGTTTCTGTCTCCACTCTGTTTTTATTCAATACTAATTTGCAATTTTTATTGATCATGCAATAAAGAACTCCCATTTTATGTATTATTGAGTATCATTTGAAATCCACCACTGTAGATCATCGTAAGTGTCAGACTAATATTGTTATGCTAATTTCTTATTGTTTGTAAACTCTGGTTAATATAAGTTTTGTATGAATGATGATAGATAGGACTAAGAAGAATCTCTTAGCTAGAAATTACAATTATGCTCTTGTTTATAATTAACGACAATGATCTCTAATGTATTATTGGACTCTCTATTGCAAATGGAATAACCATTATTTTTGAATGTTTCTTTGTTATTTTTACAATTGTACCTAGACTTATGGGCTTGGTCTCTGTTACAAGATTACTTCATTATTTATAAAGAAATCAGTTATAAGTTTATGAATTGACAAGTTTGGATCTAGATTTTTATTTTTCACTTGAATGTGAAGATATATCTATTAGTAAATGTGTAAAACATGACAGCAGGAAGGAGGAATGTATGTTTTCTGCGAGAAGTTACATTATAGAATTTACATTATACTTATGTATTGAACGAGAAAACAATTGGGGACAGCCAGTTGTAGTTGAATATGGAATTACAGAATCTCTTGGTAAAATATGAGGACCATACACTGAATACTTCATTTGCAAATTTCCACCATTTGATCTTCATATTGTGTATGATTATTCCAGTCCACAATTCCTTTCTATTCCCGTTTTTTTTTCTCTTCAACTCGATCTTCTTAGCCTTCTGCTGTTAGGTTTTCCACTTCTGATCGGTGTTACATACTACTTATGTCGACAGACATAAGTAGCATACACCATACATATACATAGCATCTTTGGTGTGTTCTGCAAACACCGTGCTTCCAATGCACTGAAAGTCTTCACAATTGTTGCAACTATGACACCACGTCCCGCTACACACCCACAAACATCCTTGTGAGTAGCATCCATCACAAATGTAATTGCAATATGATGGAAAGATGTATGATTTTCTGAAACTTTTTAGTAATGTAAACTTAATCATGAATTGATGATAATGTTAATAAACATTTCAATATGATTAAGAGTTGATTTACAATCAACAAGGTTACGACTGAGTTATATTGATGAATTCTTCAGTTATACTGTAGATTTGTCAACTAATTAAGAAACGAAAATCGATTTGTTTATTTATTTTTTATTATTTGTTTCAACACATAAATATTGATACAAGAGGGCACCAAATATATATGCGCCACACCATATTTGTGTGTGTATGGGCTGTGATACTGCCCGGGTGCCCAGACCGAAGCAGGTGGTTTTCTTAGGGGGCCACACCCCGAGCCTTTGACCTAAAGGTCTGATCCATAACGCAGTGGAGCATCGTGAGGAGATGCATTCCCATGGTAGCCGGTGACCAACGATTGGTTCATACGCCATTTTTCCCTCAGGATACTGGAGTCCATGTGCACCATCGGTTTGAGATCCGATTAAAGCGCCGGACATTCGCTTTTCGTCCTCTCATTTTCGTAAACAACAGTAGTGCCACGAGAAGGCAGTGAGTAGGACTTCTCTGACAGAGACTGTGTACGCGTGGCCATGTGAGAGCATTTCGAGAGGGAGGGCGGGCCCACCCCACTTTCGGCCATACCAGGGCATTTGGGGGCAAAATCGATTCGTAGCACAAATCACACTTTTATATTACTGTTTAGCATACATACTACTACTAATATATTATCCAGAATATATTCTTATTCTTATTTTAAATGTTTGTTATATATGTTGACCATTTTACATTTCAGATGTGAATAAATTAGATTTCAATGTTAAATCTGGATCGACAACAAATACTTGTCTATCAAAATCTAATTATCGAGTTTCTAATCATAATCCATGGATTAAAGCATCAAATTCAAATCGTTATGATGAATTGGATCAAGCACAAAGAAGACAACATGATGAAAATTTGTTACCACCAACACCTTCTAGCCCTCCTCCACCTTTGCCACAGTCAATGACAACACCAAAGCATCACTAACTAATAAATTTGTTCATAATTTTATAATTGAAAGGAGCAGAACTTAATATAGTCCTCAGTAATCAAGACGACTGTTTCAATACATGCATATATAAATATATAGAGTACAAATGCAACTAACTCATTCATGCATATATGCGCTTGTAAATAGAAAAAAAATCCTAGAATTTCTTCATTAATTTTTTATGCATAATAAGTACACATTCAAATATATGATATTCTATATAATTTAACGAGAAATCTTTTGCCTATATATGTACCCTTACCGGTGGCGTGTACAATATTCAGTCGTTGTCGTCGTCATCATCATCATCATCACCATCATCGTCGTGTTTTTCTACGTTTCAAGAGTTAAATCTGTCTTTCCACTAGCTCTGTCTATATGTTCCTATTCGTGTTAAATGAATGCCGTAATCTTTGTTTCCATTTATCCAAATACTTTTTTTAAAAAATATTTCGATATGAAATAAAACATTGAATTGAAATAATTTCTAGTTGATTTGTAATTCTGTTCTCATATTTCTTATTTTGTGTATATTGGACTAATAAAACAAAACAGAACAAACTACTGAATCATTATCGTTTATTGTTATAGACTTTCAAAGTGTTCGCTTTCATTCAGTTAATTTCTGGTCTATTTAGTTTTATCCTATTCTATTGTATCTAAAATTAAGGTGAGTCGAAATTGTTTAGAATTTGTCAGTAGTATTTTTATCCTATAAGATAATACATAAATAAATATTGATATATAAAGTTTCGAACAAGTACTATAAAGACACAAACTTAGTGGTAATCTTTGCCGTAAATCGACAGCGGATTAACCAAACGATTATTGGGTACGATGTTCCGTTGAGTCTGGTTACGAGCTTAAAATATAGCAGATATGTATATTGTTGGCTAATATTGACATCCAAACTAGTTAGATCAAATCAACAGTGTTTTCTATGTTAAAGGAGTATATCTTACTAACTTTTCGTTACAGTTCTTCGAGGTTAAACTGATTATAGTCATTTCTCGTCGACGTTTACACTCTAAGTAAAGTTTAATACTTAAAGCTAAGGCTAAAAGTACTGAATAATAAATTGTTAGAAGTAACTGTGTAGTGGAACTATTTCTAAGACAAGTAAAAGCTTCTTAGTTCACAGCTTCACTAATGAAACAACGGTTCTGTCTGTTTGATAAAATTTGTATACCTTTCTTTTGTAATTCTGATGTTCAAGATGAAATCCTAGGATTTCGTAGCCATTTGACCAAGTTACTTTCTCTGTAATCTACTCATTGTATTATTTCGCTTTTTTTGATTGAGTTATTCTAGAGTGTAGGAAAGGTAACTATTATCCCGTTGGCTAGTATTATTGCACCCATTTATCTATATGAAGTCAGCTTTTGATGTTTTAGAACACTTAAGTACGTCTGTAAGAGAATATATTTTCTTGGTGTTTTTTAGCTTCTCATATTGTTTATGGTAGGATAGGAGTACATGCGAATATTTGATAGTTTTCTTCCGTTAAGTAAAATCATTTTTAGTGGAAGAGATTTGTCAACACTGTTGAACTTTATGATTTACATTACAGACTATAATTAGTCAGATAACCATTAGAAACCAGAATGTCTCATACACCTGTTTCGTATTAGTAAAAGTTTCAGTGATGCACACCCACAACTTCACTGGGGATCGGTCTTGCGGCAAACGTTTAACCGATTATAACCACTAAGTCGAGGTCCAATGGTACAATTCCAATTTTTGTCGATTTGTACTGTAGCATGATGACTATACAGTAACATAGGTGACAACTGCTTCATTTCTGTTTCCTTCCAAGTTTCACAACAGGACGGAAGAGCTATTCAGTACCTTCCAGGTTTTCAATGTTTGTCTAACTAAGGTCAGTCCACAATTTATCACTGTTCTCGATTATTGCTTAGATCCTTGAATATATTAACATTCATGCTTAACCAATTCATTCACTGAAAATAGTTTCATCATTTGTCATTTTCAATCTTTGTATCTTGGAATATTTGGAATCTATTTGATAACATTGCACTGTTTATTATCTTTGTCAACTTCTTTCATTGTGATGTCAACTGGAACTTTTACAATACTACCGTATTCAAACTACATCTTACACAAAGAAACTTCATTGGTTTAGTCTTTCCTCTTTCATATTGATAGTTCTGTTATTTGAATAATTAATTTTAAATAAGATTAGATTGAATAAGAAAAAAAACTCACTTTATTGATTAGTGAACAATGTACAACTTTGTTACCTTTCATGAACATTATAACGTTTCCATAATTATTATTTTGTTTTATGAGGTTACTTGATTAAGTTCAATATGAATTTGATTTGTTAAGCAATACTATATGAAATAATATTAGTTTTACTAGGTGTTGTCTTGTGAACTGCAAATTAGACGGCAGCAAATTATCGATCGGACCAAAGACGCGTAAACACGTAATAACAGCCTAGAGTTCTGATTGATCTTTATTCCCTGTCTAGCCCAGCCAGTTGAGCCCAGAACGCAAGTCGCAGCCTCTGAGATATGAATCATTATATTTCAAACATACTCTGTTTATATACCAATCAAGCAGGACCACATAGTACCATAAAATAGAAAATAACATTGTAAAATATTGGCCAACAGGAAAATGACACGTTAAATAAATATTGATCAATAAGAAAATGATACCATCTCAAGTCCAAGGATGGCGTTAGACTTAACAGAATAATTTCTTGGGATATTTTTCTGAATATCCCAACACTAGATATTTAAATCTATTTATTTCTGTGTGTGTGTGCATACATGGTCTCTTTTTAGATATGTGAAGAATAATTTTCAGAACAAGAACTATTTCACTGAATTACATTACGTTGATATAATTTTAGTGTAATAAATTAATGTGAATGCACATTTCAATGGTATTTATGATTATGTACAACTAATCTGATCTGATCACTAGGGCAAAATTTAACTGTTATTTCTATGGAAGACATGTTTTTCAGGTCAATGTGTAGTCTACTATTTACTGTAAAATTTTACATTCTTATAAAAGATTATATGGATTGTAACTCGTTAAATAGAGTTAGTCTACAGAGCTTACTTCATTCAATGGTCTAATCATACATACTGGGTACATTTATATATCTTAACTTAACAGTGGTCTAGTGGTTAAGTGCTCGTGCGCGAAACCAGTAGGTCCTGGGTTCGAACCTCGCATGGGGCGAGGCCGTGGATGCGCACTGCTGAGGAGTCCCACAATAAGACGAAACGGCCGTCCAGTGCTTCTAGGTTTCCCATGGTGGTCTAGCTTCAACTGACTAATGATCTCAACCATTGAAATTATTAAATTGTATTACATAATTGTACTGATTTTAATAATTAGATGTATAATGGTCCCAATACGTTTTCTTTCCATTTTAGAATATTCACTAAATCCATACTTCAGTTTTCATCGTTTCGTACTTACATACATGTTGCGGATGATATTCTCATTATGAATTTCAATTCCACTCAATTGGATATATGCTTATTTTATTTTACCTTCTTTTTTTTCTTCCCAGATGGATTAACCCAGGTTAGCATTTCTGATGAAGTATGAAGTCTTCCATATTATTTCTTCTACCTCTTATAATCTATTCCATTTATTCTTTTACACATATATGTTTTCTTTTTTGTATTTGTTGTTTGATTCAACGATTGATTGTGTATAAAATCATTGAAATATGTTGTGACTTTTAGATGGGAATGGGATTACAATTTAATTGATCCGTCTTGTTCACTGATTATTCAGTTCTTCATGTATATCATTTGGCTAACTTTTAATAATTCTGTTATATAAACTAGAGATATTTACGCTAAATCTTCAGATACATATCCCTATATATAAATATAATTCTCTGTAAACACTCATATGTAAAAGCCACGAGCCAGGCTCTATTTGTGTTTATGAGTATGCAATAAAGCCAATCATACAAAAAGGACAAACTCCCTTTATTCTTCTTAATATATATATAATTGTTATATTGTATACATTTGATTATATTCCATTATTATATAGATGGAAGAAGCAAATAAAATTAACTTTTCATTCGAACAGTACTGTTTGTTTTGCATGTTTATTTTTTTTTAAAAAAAGAAATAAAATTTTAAAAGTTTCTACGTACTACTGAAATGTTTGTTAATTGATATATATGTATATACTAATGAAATTGGTTTATTTGTTAGAAATGAATAGGGAGTTGTCTTAATATTATACTGTGTAATCATATTTCACAGTTTTATATGTAAATATTTTAATATTAGGCTGTTGGAGGCATTTTTGTAGCAAGCGTGCTGTTTGACTTAAGTTTTATGTCAGTGTTAAAGCTAATGAGTAAGGCGTATCTATAATATCTTGAGGGAAGTGGTACTGTCTAGTGGATTTGGAACTGGGCTTCACAGTTGAAATGTTAGAACTGAACTATTTAGACCATCAATGAATCTCTCGTAGAATCGTGATATTTACGATTGATTGATTAATATTATTTGTACTTGAGGTGTTTTTTTTTTAACAATTTTAAATGGCGTTAGTGAATAGTCTACGCACACAATGTGAAATTGACTAAGAACATCACATCTGAAATTATTTCAGTTTTGCGTACTAAGATTTATGAGATATTTGCCATCCAAGTTTTACTGATTAATCTAATCATTTTGGTTAGTGCTAGACTTTTCCAGGGAATGCGTTAACGTGATGTATGGTAAAGCATCACACATAAGACACTTGTTTACAATACAAAAAAACTCATGAACTGTTATTACTTTCAGCTTTATCTTGATTAAACGAATTGTACTGAAGGGTAATAAAACAATGCAGAAACATTTCATAAACTGACGATAGTACAGCTGGGACTAGGAAGAAACTGGTGGTCAGACATCTTGTCTGATGGAATCTTGGCACGGTTTCAGAAACTTCAGCTGGCTTTTGCCAACTTGCGTTGCCTGTGGCGTAGGAGAGATGTCTGCCCATCAAACCAAAGAACGAATATTCTGTAACTGTTAAATATAGATTTAAAAAATAGAGGATGTCTATAGGTTACTAGCATTTGATGATAGATGCTTCCAAAACATTGCTCGCGTATGCTGGGATCATCAGGTTAGAAACTCTGAGGTTAGATACACATTACTAGGTAAAGATGGCAATTTGATCTATGAGGTAGCGAGTCTCCAACTAAGATGGAACATATATTGAGTATGCTGAACCATCGCCCACTTTGATAAGCTATGCATACTAGTGTAACTATAAGTTGGAAGAAAGCTAGGGGTGGTCAGTCCAAGTAGTCCCATCTGTCCATGAAGTCATAAATTGTTCAATTGATCCTTGGTGGTAAGTGAAAACTACTAGGTTGGATCAGTGCGATTATCTTAATCAGTGCATGGAGACGTATGGTTATGTTACTCAGAATCAATCTTAATGATGCAGAAACATTCACTCGTTGTCCCTTTATTCTGGGGATTCGTTTTTTTCTCGAATTATATTTTGTGTATCTAATCTCTTTTATCTCTGATACTGATACTCCTATGAAATTGCTCCTGATAATTTCAACCCTGTGCGCTGATATGATGTGGTATCTTATTTATTTACCAGGTTCTACTTTACTAACGACTGACTGATCGATCGTTCATGGTAAGTTTATTTCCGCTCAATTATGACACCATCATTTGAGTATTCCCTGAACAGGATCAAAACAGTTTGGAGGGAGTTTAAGCCGGTTGATGAAAATCGATCTGATAAATACGTGTAATAATCTTTCTTATTTTTAGTCTGTATTTGCGATGAATTTCTGGACACACCCTTTTGTATCATTTTAGTTATTATTTAATGGAAATGTTTCAAAAAAGCTTCACATATTTGGTGGTATAATGTTGAAGACTTCAATAATAAATAAACCAGGAGCTAAATTTTACTGAGAGTTTGATCAATTGGAGTGGGTGCCACTTTAATAATTGTCTTTTATTGAGATATGATTACATTTCAATTTGTACCGTTAACTAGTTCCGAAATGATGAAGTTTATTTTCGTAGTTTACAGCTTGAGTAATTTCAATTAATTTTATTTCCCATATTGAACAGTTGAATTCTAGGTTCATAATATAGAGAAATCAAAGTCACTTGATGCTTAGACGAAATTTTGTATGAAAAAAGGCTTCTTTATTTTTGATACTTTTATGAATGAAAGGAATTCTCCATAAAAGTGATAGATCCCTATTTAAGGTTTATAATTTCATTTTGTTGATATTCAGGAGTGAAATTGACTAGTCTTTGTTGTCATGTGTGAATCTCGAACGGATCACCTCAATGTAGCATCTCATCAGAAGTATTAGTTTATTTGATGCATGGCTAACAGGGTCTTAAATCTCAGTTAAACATCAATACTGGTATGCAGTTGACCAGTCCGACTTAAGACAAAACACTTGTCCTGTATTCGACGGCTCTCCATGCATAAGATATACTAAAATCCATAAACTTTGTTGATAAATAACACATTGATATACTCAGCAACACTTTAAAGCTTACTTATTATAATGAAACAAACTTTTGTAAAACATTGATTGTCACTGCAAACAACCAGATTGTCAATGTCTCAAACTATGAGAGTGATATCATAAGATTAATGTAGTAATAATAATAATGCTGATCACTATTAGTTCAGCGTAATGACTGATGTTTCTATTTCGCTGTAATAAAAGAATCAATCTCTAATTCATTTCACCGACAAGCATTTTACAATCTGGAGAATGAACCTCATGGTGAAGATCGATTATAATATCATTATAGGAAACAAGATACGAAATATTTATGAGAAACTAGTTTACAGCCCTTTTCGGTGGCTTTTTGTAACATACAACTGACAGACATCAAACATAAAATTCTACACACAATGAATGGATTGATTTTGTTGTATTTTGTCACTGGATAAACAACGGAAATTTAATAAAATGTAAATATGGGGAGAATAAAATAATGAAATGAATTGACAAAACGAGATTAAAAATATAGGATTGTGTTCAGATGTGAAATCATTTGGAGGTATCTTCCAATCTGAACTCACTCCATAGATAAATTGTTCAAAGTTAATTCGTTTGACTTACTGACCTAGACAATGTTGAGCCACATTCACCTAGTGTCAATGTTGTAGAAGTCGTGGTCGAAATACAAATATTTGTAAGGAAAAGTTTATTTTAAACTGACAAGGGAAGGGAACTAAACAGTAGCAACAACTCAGTATTCGAACAAGGTAGAAAGCACATCATCGTTTAACTACCAGACAAACAAACTAAGTTTACATTTTTGGATCAAATCTTTAGGTCAACGGCTCAGGGTGTGGCTCCTACGAAAATCACCTGCTTCGGTTTGGGAACCCGGGTAGTATCCCAGCCTTCACAAAAATTGAATTGGTGCTTCATTGTACCAAGTTTAATGTGTTTAAATAAATAATAATATGTATAAGTGTTCACTTTTAGTATATGTTTGAACTATTAGTTGTACTCATACATCATTAGTATGAATTCGGAAAAATGAACAACACCTAAAAATCCTATAATCTGATTATTACATTTATAAATTACAATTTTTATTTCGTTTATTATTCATTTAACCTTAAATGATCAAATCAAATTTTTAAGCAGATTAGTTCACTGAAAAACCCAGTCAATCGTCTCAGACTTCATTGTTCTTTTGGTTCCACACTAATTGTTCTTTGTTCTTGTTCTCCTTCCTTTGATCTTCGTGACTTTCTGCCTTCAGGTATTTCACTTTTGATTGATGATACATACTACTTATATCTGTCGTGATCAGTAACACACATCATAATATGTTCATTATTAACTTGGCTAATGTTTATTATTTCATTTTCAAATTAATAACATATTCGGCCCAAATTATATGAGAAAGAGAATTATAATATCATTATTAGAATAAGCATCCATATAAGAATGATGATGTAAAAGGATTAAAATTTGCTGAATGCTAAAGTTGATTAGTCATTCATTGGGTCCACATTCACACCTCCATTTGAACTGTTAGGTCAAGAAAATATCAACACAAAGTGATAAAATAATAAGTAACGAGTAACCTTACTGATGTTTATTTCTTGAAAATCCAGTTCGTAATTTGTCTAAGCGTATATTTAATATCTTTACGGATTCTACGTTCATTTCACCAAGTCAACTATTTGGTAGAAAGTCTTCAAATGATAAGGAAGTGAATCTAACAACTTGATCTCTAGTTCTGTAAATAAACTTTAAATATCAGAAAACATTTCTAACTTGTTCCATCATATAATTTATAATCATAAAAAGACATCTGAAGAACAATTTATAGATTGGATGGTAGGGAATTCATAGATTTTACTTTCACTTAATCATATTTTGAAAATACTTTGCAGTATTTGTTATTGGATCATCCGATTTGAATCAATTATGGTTTGTCTTCAGACGTTTAGATTGTGTACTGCGTCTTCGGAAGTATTTGAAAGCTAATCTTTTTATGTATTTAACTACTGAATCTGTAATTAAGTAATCAAGAAAGGTTTGAAAAGAAAACAATTGTTATCATCTCGTAAACACTTGGATAAAATGAAATAAAAAAATATTATTTTACAATCAAAATAGCCCAATATCATTGTCTCTAAATCCAATACTGAATGATATATTTAAGTCGAAGAAACAGTGTTGTTCCTTTTAAAGTTTCAGATCAGCTTAACTGACGACTTTGAATAAACAAGACATACAATTGCAGAACCGTCTGAATATTCAGTCAAACAAATTTTGCTCTAATGTCTAATCTCCTTGTATAGTGAGTGCATCTTAAATGTGACTGTTAGTTCTGAGGACCGTAAAACTTAATACATTATAGTTGCTAACTGCTAAAATTTTGTATAAATGATTTTTGTCTATATATCAGATGTTTCTATACTGTTACAGAAAACGATCACTATACTTAAAAATCAGCGACTTGGTTGCATGCTAAGAGACGGAACAATTTAACCCTTCAATACAATCATCCGAATTTTAGGTAAATAGACTCAATTTATTTGAACCCCTCATTGGTC